CGTGGCAGCGGTGGAACTGAAAGTGGCAGTGGTGAAACCGGAATGGCAGCAGAAGGGTGAATCCTGGCATGGAGGTGCCTCGAGACCCCAGCAGCGGTGAAACCGGAAGTGGCGTCAGAAGGGCAAGGAGGTACCTCGAGACCCCACTCTGGATCCGCTGCCAGCACCAGCTGCTCCGAATCTGCCTGCCGAAGTGCCAGCACCGCGTCTGAAGCCACCTTCTCAGGTTTGGCTGCATGGGGCGGAATGGCAGCAGAAGGGTGAATCCTGGCATGGAGGTGCCTCGAGACCCCACTCTGGATCCGCTGCCAGCACCAGCTGCTCCGAATCTGCCTGCCGAAGCACCAGCACTGCGTCTGAAACCACCTTCTCAGTTTTGGCTGCATGGGGGGGGATGGAGTAGTGAGCTGGTGACTTACGGCTCGCGTGCCAGCAGAAAGGGTTCCGTGTGCCAGCTGTGGCACGCATGCCATAGGTTTGCCATCACTGATCTAGAGGGTGCCAGTTTGGGCAAGAAGGCTGGCTGCTTATGCCAGAAGTATCACCAGCACTGCGTCTGAAACCACCTTCTCAGTTTTGGCTGCATGGGGGGGGATGGAGTAGTGAGCTGGTGACTTACGGCTCGCGTGCCAGCAGAAAGGGTTCCGTGTGCCAGCTGTGGCACGCATGCCATAGGTTTGCCATCACTGATCTAGAGGGTGCCAGTTTGGGCAAGAAGGCTGGCTGCTTATGCCAGAAGTATTTATTTGCTGATGTACTCAAGGTGCAGAGTTCATCTGGAGAATCATGTTCATGCATTTGATGGCAGGACCCATTTCAGGTGGCAACTAGCCATTCTGCTGCCCCAGCTCACCGTTAGCTCTTCCAAATTGGCGGGCAATAGTTCCGGCTTTGGTGGTGAAGGGGAGGCTGGCGCAGCTGGAGAGGGAAGAGTGAGCGGAGGGGGCCCGCTCGGTGGGGTGGGTGTCCCAGCGAAGCTCAGGACCTGCTCTGGAGTACTGTTGAGTAAAAGAGAGAGAGAGAGAGAGTTGCTCCCAACTTTTCCTAGACTTGGTGTTTTGTCTCACAAGAAAAACAAGACACAACATTAGCCTTTGTGTGAAACCTTCCATTCCATGTTGTTAAGAGTTATCAATCTGCATCCAGGTTATGGCAACCTAAAAAAGGTTTTCAAGGTGTGTCAGGTATTTAAGGAGTTGTTTTCCCATTGCCACCGCAAGTATTTATGGCTAAGCAGGGATATGAATCCAGGTCTCCTGTATTCTACTCCGGTACTTTATCCACACGGGCCTGAATGAATCCTGTGAGCCTCTCTACTTGGTTGCCAAGTTTACCATGGGTCTGTGGAACTCCCAGCAAAAAGCCAAGCCTTTACCTGGCTGGGACGGCGTGCAAGGCTTGGACGCAGAAGGTGGCCGGCGTTGTTGGCGTCGGCTGTTGCTGCTGGTTCAAGATCTGAAGCTGCAGGAAGACCTGCTGTTGTTGCAGGAGGCGGGCATAGGCTGCGTCCATGGGCACCGGGGCCTGCTCTCCTTTCTGGTCGGGTGGCATGTATTGGTGGTACTTGAGTTTCTTTATTTTGGGTCTTGGTTCCTTGGCCTTCTTGGGGCGTGGAGGTTTCTTGGCCTCAGAAGCCTTGGGCTGGGCCTGGTTGAGGGGGAGGAGAAGGGGGAGAGTTAAATCTAAAGGTAGGAACAGAAGTGGAAGAGGAAACTCTTTAAATACACTTTAAGCAAGGGAAGGCTAGAGCTAGATAAGGGTTGCTAGATTATTTTTATATACACTGTATTTTTCAGTATATAAGACTATACTTTTTTCTAAAATCTTTAGACTAAAAATGGAGGGCCGTCTTATACATGGAAGTAAGCTTACGAGAGAACAAAAACAAGTGGAGGGGAAAGCAGGGATCAAAGCTATCCTGCAGCGCTTTGATCCCTTTCCCCCCAAGCCTTGCTAAACCCCACTTAGATTTCTTAATTTTGGATAAGAAAAGTGGGGGGGTCTTATACATGGGAGCGTCTTATACACAGAAAAATACATGGTTTTTTTGCAAGGCACAGTGAGCCTTGCTAAAACCCACTTAGATTTCTTAATTTTGGATTGGAAAAGTGGGGGGGGTCTTATACATGGGAGCGTCTTATACACAGAAAAATACATGGTTTTTTTGCAAGGCACAGTGTATAGTATTTCTTTTTTTCGACTACAGTACCCAGAATTCTACAACCAGCCTTTTCAAGTGCCCTGCAGCCTGGCTGGGAGCTTCTGAGAGTTGTCATCCCCCCCAAAAAAGAGTGTAATGTATGTATGTGTTTCTCAAGTTCTGCCTATCAAGCCTACCCTGCAGCAGCCATGTCTGTTGTCACAGTTCTCTCATTTCTTGCTCATAGCAGAGCGAGATGCCAAAACCAGCCACCTGTGTTTTCTTTAATTGAGGAATGTCTTCATATATTTATTAATCTTTTCACACAAACAGCATTTAATGAAATCTAAATTATAAAATATGGAGTTAAAACAAATCCATGTTAATAAACAGTAAAACAAATCCACGTTAAAAGCTAAAGCAAAAAAGGCTGTGTTAAAAGCGGGGCAACTAAAACATAGAAAAGACGATGGCAAGCAGATCTTCAAAAAGACTTTGGAATATGTTCTTAGCTAGCCCTACTAAAATCCTAGAATGGAACTGGAAAGTGCCTATAAGGCCATGGGGTCCAACCCCTTGCTCAGTACAGAAATCCAAATCAAAGGAGATCTAACAGAAGGTTGTCCCGTTTTCTCTTGAATGCCTCCAGCACTGAAGCGTTCACTGCCTCCCAAAGCCATTGGTTCCATTGTTGTACTGTACAACTCTAACAATTAATTTTTTTTCTGAAATTCAGCCTAAAACTGGCTTCCTGCAGCTTCCTATGTGTCATGAACTCTGGGATGAACTCTAACAGTTAATTTTTTTTCTGAAATTCAGCCTACAACTGGCTTCCTGTAGCTTCCTATGTGTCATGAACTCTGGGATGATTGAGAACAGACCCTGTCTCTCCCCTATATGGTTACCTTTCAAGTATTTGAAAAGTGCTAGTGTATCTCCCCTCATTTTCTTTTCTAATGGCTAAATATGCCCAGTTCTTTCTGCCTTACCTCACAGGGCTTGGTTTCCAGTCTCCCGATCATCCTTGTTGCCCTCCTCTGAACTTATTCCAGTTTGTTGGCATCCTTCTTAAAGTGTGGTGTCCAGAACTAGACACAGTACTCTAGATGAGTTCTAACCAGTGCTGAATAGAGGGGTAGTAGTACCTCGTGGGATTTGGAGACTATATTGATGAGTTCTAACCAGTGCTGAGTAGAGGGGTAGAAGTATCTCGTGGGATTTGGAGACTATATTTCTGCTAATGCATCATACAATACTGTGTTTCCCCGAAAACAAGACAGGCCTAATGCATCATAAAATACTGAGTTTCCCCAAAAACAAGACAGAGTCTTATATTAATTTTTGCTCCAAAAAAACACATTAGGGCTTATTTTAAGGGGATTTTTCCCCCTGTACAACAATCTACATTTATTCAAATACAGTCATGTCATCTTCTGGTTGCTGCCCAATGGTGGAGGGAGGGGTTTCACTTAACTGGGGCTTATTTTGGGGGTAGGGCTTATATTATGAGCATCCTGAAAAATCATACTAGAACTTATTTTCAGGTTAGGTCTTATTTTCGGGAAAACGGTAGGATTTGCCTTTTCTGCAGCCACATCTCACTGATGGCTCATATTTAGCTTGTGATCTACAACAATTTCATGCCCTCACCATGTATTTTGGATTATGGGAGTCCAAAATACACAAAGGGCCAAAGCTTCCATACATCTGGTCTTGCAGTTTCAGAATTTGTCTGTGTGATTTGTTTTGGATCAGTTTTCAGCTGAACGGACAAGAGGGTAGGGAGGAAATAGGATGCCAAGTTATTTACTCCTAATTTGTTGCCTTTGACTGTTGTCACTTGTGTTTTGCAGTGGGTGATAAGAGTAGCACTGACTCCCTCCGAGCCCCTGTCCTCTTTCCACGATGCTACACCATGGTAGAATGCCTTGCACAGGCTGCTTCTGGAATAGTAAAGAACAAAAGTTCCTCTTTTTTTGGACTATAACTCCCAGAATCCCCAATCCAGTCTGGTTCCTGCTGGCTGGAAGGATGCAGTAAGAAAGAGTTGCCCCCAACTAATGTTTATCTCGTTCCCAAACAGGCAGCAGGCATTCCAAACTCCTGAACGCGATGGCCACTCAGGGGTACACGTGCAGCCCTCATCCAGGACTCCCTCTGATGAAAACGATACATCAGATTTTCACCATGTTTCACTTTCCTGGCCTTTTGGTTTTCAGTTAGGCTCTGCCAATGATCCACCTTTACCTTAAGAAGCGAATTTGAGGATTTGGCAAGGGGACTCCCCCCTTGGAGAGGGAACTCGGCCTCAGACGTGGATGCTGACCCAGAGGGCTGCTGATCAGCCAGCAACGGGGGTAGGTCCAGCTGCAGGAAGAAGAGACAGAAAATGGAATCCAGGCACATTAGCCTTCAGCTCCTGCACTCCCTTCTTCTCTATTTCAGAGCACCAAATTTATTTTTTTAACATTTCAGTCCTGCTTCACTTCTGAAATTTAAACTGTCCATGAACCTTCTTTTGATCAACAGAGCGCCAAACATGGTCCAAAATCACCTCCAAACGAACTCCCCAATAACGTTTTGGAAGTAAAAAAAGTAATACACATGAGCACTCATTAACACTGGACCTTTTTTTAAAAAATAAAGTCATTATGCCCTTGTTATTCTCCTTCAAAAGGAACAGGTTACAGGTAATAATTTTATTGTAATGTATTTATCTAAAATTTTGGAGAAGTCTGACCTGAGATTCCTTAGTCTTTTGATATAGAGAAGGTATAGAAAAGTCTTATTTTGGCCTGGGAAATACAGGGGAGACCATCCTCTAGGGCTAGACTACTATTAGGTAAAGCTGGTGCAGTGATTTCAGAGGGCACTCTTCCTATATCATATTAAAGTAAGGATCAGTCCATGCATCCTGACAAAAGTATATTACCTCCTATTACAATGCTATCATGCGGCATTTCTTCTAAACATGGAATCAGCATCTTGTCTAGTGGGGCCTTAAGATTCAGTGATCAGTTTTTGGGGCATCTATGGGAATGAGGAAATCTTCTCCATCCCAGGCAGCAAAATGCCTCGGATCCGCTTTGCCCACCTCCAGATTCACAAGTTGTTGCTATTCCAGTGGCCTGCAGAGGGCAGCAAGACTATGCAGCATCCAAAGAGAACTTGGGTTGGTTTGCTTTTTAAAGATCCATTCTTCCAGTATTTATAATTATACTGTGAAGTGTGTTTATTGCATTAAACCTGGCTTCAAAATTGTATTCCAGTGCATGCACAAGGTATTTTTGACAGTTCAGTTTGCCTGCTGTGTTTCTATCAGGGTCATGGCCACATGAGTGAGGTCAGCTGGGCTACAGAACTCTTTGGTTTAAATATGTAACATATAAAGGGAAAAAACAGAGACTCTGCCCTTGTGGATCTGGTGAGATAGAATCCATTGAGCATATGATGCTCAGGCATAACAAGATTCAAGGAAAATATATTACACCTCTCTTAAAAGACATGACAAGCCAATCAGACTCGGATTACTGTAACCAATTGTTAATTGATCAAAATCAGACTACTACAGAACTGGTAGCGAAATTTTGGGCAGCATGCCATAGTAGCCAGAATAGATAGCCAAACTTAAGACATTGGTCTTATATTGTTATATTTGTAGTTTTATTGCTTTTTGTTTATTTGATTTGGCTTTTTGCAGTATATGTCAGTACTTGAACCTCTGCATTTAATTTTGTTTTATGTATGGCTTGATCCTGTAACTAAGTACAGATGTAAAGGGAAAACATGGAAACAGCTATTCAGCTAGACAGAAGGAAGTAAAACCTTCACCTTGGGAGCCATTCCACACCAGTTTGTGTAAGGCACTGGGTTAAGTGAAAAATGGTTCAGAGCATTACTTTTGTTTTATCCATATATCACAATATTTCATCTTATTACATAATTTGAAACATACGAGGACGCCCATTTAGGTTCTGTTTCATCAATGGTCATTCTACTTGTTCCTTTCATGTATCCTTAGACCCACTCGGTCCCTAACCTCTATGTCTAATCTCTAGGGTAATGGCTTACAGGAAAGGCTGTTCCAGAGGTAGCAGGATTCCCAGGTGTACTTCCAGGTGATAGTGCAAAACACGGGGAAGAAGATGAAGATGAACTGCTGAGATCTTCTTCAAAGTTGAAGGAATCGGGAGCAGCAGGATCTGAAAATGGCATTCAGAAAGAGTTGGTGTTATTACACTGGGATCTGGAAGACAATATTCACTCCTTCCCATTACACAATGTTTTTTTCTTTACACACTAAGGCTACCTCATACTATATCTGACCACTGGCACATATAGTTGATTATCTTCCACTCTGCCTTGGCTTTCAGGTCAAACTGAAACAGAGATCATGTGGAAAGCCCATGGCAGATCGTCCAACTCCAATTTTCTCAACACTGTTTGAACTGCTCCTTGCCTGTCCTGGTCTTCTTCAAATGTGCTGGACGACAATTCTCATCAATCTCAGATGGCATGGCCAATGGAAATGACTGGAACTATAGTTCAGTCCCATCTGAACTACTAGGTTGGGGAAGGCTGCTATTAAGATCCCTCTTGCTGGAGAATGACAGGACTCCAAGATGTTTCCACATGGTTCCATTTGAACCTGTCGTTCTACATCTAGCCTATGCACCCCTCCTTTTTTCCTCCAAAAGAAACCCCCAAAAATGCTGGCTTGCTGTTTTCCCTCCCATCGAGAGCTATCATTTCCACTTTGGGTAGCACCCAAACCTCTGAAGCCATTACCCATCATGGCATCCTTGATGCCCGGATCCAAGGGGAGGATGTTTTTTTTCACTAGTTCAAGAGGCCCAGGACGGTGTAGGATCTTCTCACTCAGGTCTTCAGCCAAGCGAGCCTTTTTGTCCTGCAACTCAGCAGCTTCTCCCACAGGCACTGAACAAAGAGAGAAGAAAACAGCAATGGAACCTTTAGATGGGGCAGGAAAAAAAACACAAGCCTTGCTGGATCACACTAGGTTCCCCTTGAGATTTAGTCCAGTCGTATCCGACTCTAGGGTGCGGTGCTCATCCCTGCTTCCAAGCCATAGAGCCAGCGTTTGTCCGAAGACAGTTTCCGTGGTCACGTGGCCAACGCGACTGGGCACGGAACACTGTTTTCTTCCTACTGAGGTGGTACCTATTTATCTACTCCCATTTACAGTTGTGCCCCGCTTAATGATTACCCGGCATTACGATGAATCCGCTTCATGATGATGTTTTTAAAAATATTTTAATGGGTTTTTTTTCTTTGCGAAGATCGGTTCCCTGCTTCGGGAACCAATTCTTTGCGTTACAATGATCAAAACAGCTGATCGTCGGGTTTTCAAAATGGCCTCCGGATGCTCAAAATGGCTCCCCGCTGTGCTTAGGGACGGATAACTCGCTATACAGGCACCGAAAATGGCCGCCGTATGGAGGATCTTCGCTGAACTGTGAGTTTTTAGCCCATTGGAATGCATTAACTGGGTTTTAATGCGTTTCAATGTTTGTTTGTTTTTTTGCTTTACGACGTTTTCGCTCTACAGCGATTTCGCTGGAACGAATTAACATTGTTAAGCGAGGCACCACTATACATGCTTTCGAACTGCTAGGTTGGCAGGAACTGGGACAAGCGACGGGAGCTCACTCCATTGTGTGGATTTGATCTTAAGACTGCTGGTCTTCTGACCTTGCAGCACAGAGGCTTCTGTGGTTTAACCTGCAGCGCCACCACGTCCCTATCAGGGATCACACGGGAGGTTTATCTAATCTGACATACTTTGTCCAAAGATAGCCTACTCAGTGGTCCCAAGAGGCCTCACAACAGGGGTAAGGTGGCAATTGTCCTCAGTGTCTGGTAATTAGAAGCAAAGCTTGGAAAAGTTACTATTTTCAGCACCAGAATACCCAGAATTCTGCAATGATCATGTCTACACAGGCAATTCTAGTCTCAGGATTCTGAGGACTGTAATTAATTTTTTTGTAAGCTTTGATTGAAAGTATGTTGTTGCCTATGTATGTGCCTGTTCCACCTTCCTTCCATGAGGATAATTAAAGACCCCTAAGCGATTAGTAAGCAATACAAACCATAAGGAAGTCTAAAATAGAGAGGAGTGAGGTTTATGTACCAATAAAAACTGCTCAGTCAACAGGGAGGTGCACAGGGTTTTCCACAGCAGTAGCAGGGAGGGTCCAATGATTTTTTTTTAATGTCAGGAGTGAGCCAGAACCAGAAAACTGGATTTTTGTTCCTTTCCCACACTTCTGCCCTCATCCCACTTCTGTGAAAACAGGTGACGTCCAATGACAGGTCTCCCAGATTTGAGAACCATTATCATTACAGGAGGCATGCAGTGGTGCAGGACTGGTAAAGGTGAACAGGGCCCAGGCAGAGGCTGGTCTTTACCTTCCGCTGCTTGGCCCTTCGCAGTGCTGGTCTTGTGAGGCCGGGGCAAGACTTTCAGCTTGGCAGCCTCATTGACCTGAGGAGAAATGGAGAGCATGGCAAGCTTAGCAAGACTCCTAGCCAACCAAGTCCCCATTTCCCAGGCCACTCATAATGAAAGATGCAATGGCAGTGCTCCTAAGCCTTGAATAGTGATCCTCATGTGGCTGAAATAGTTACCTTTTGAATATAACTTTCAGAATCCCCCAGCCAGCATTTTATTGTTACATGCAGTCAAATCACCTCCGACTTCACGGCGACCTTATGAACGAGTGATCTCCAAAACGATTCTGTCTGCAATAGCCCTGCTGAGCTCTTGTAAACTCAAAGCTGTGGCTTTCTTGATGGAGTCAGTCCATCTTGTCCTTGAGAGAGCCAGCAGAGCTATCATAATAATAACTTTTCTACACTCTGTCTAAAGATATTGGACAGAAATGAGGGATTGCCATGGCTTTAGCAGTCACATGAAATTACCAAACCCTGGATTTTGGGCAGCGGCTGGCCATTCTAGCAAAAATGGGAGCAATGCAGATTCTAATCTTCAGCCGCACTAGGCAAGGCTCTGCCTCTCACAGGCGTGCCGCTTCGCCCCTGTGTGCACACAAGACTCGGCTCCCCTGTGCATGGGGTTCCATCGTAACCAGAACCAAAGGGGCTGAAAATGATCACTGAATGGAGGAGGAGGAAAGCTGTGTGGAGGCGGGCAGAATTGCATGCACATGTGCAGGTGCACAGCTTAGAGGGAACTTTGCGTGGAAGCCATCATCACTCCAACTCCAGATGAACTAATAATTGTATGCTGTCAAGTAAATTCTGACTTACGACAATCGTTTTCGGGGGGTTTTCTAGGTAGAGAGTACTCAGAGGTGGTTTACTTTTCCCTTCTCTATGGGGCGCAGGGGAGTGCTTGGGCTGTGCAGCTTGCCCAAGGCCACACAGGCTGGCTCTTTCGGGATGCACAGGGGGAAACGGAACTCCCAACCTCTTGCTCTGCAGCCCGACACCTAACTCACTGAGTTATCCAGCCAGCCGAGATGAACTACTCCTATCATCATCATCGTAGAACTGCAGAGCTGGGATGCTATGGATCATCAATCCAGCCCCCATGAAGAAGGCACAGTGAGGAGTCAAACTCCCAACCTCTGCCGATTGGGGACTGGAGTCCAGATACATTCAAATGGCTACAGTCATGCCTCAAACCATTTCCATAAACAAGGCCAAGGAAACTTTATAGCTTAAAATGTTATTGTTGTTGTTTAGTCGTTTAGTCATGTCCGACTCTTCGTGACCCCATGGACCAGAGCACGCCAGGCCCTCCTGTCTTCTACTGCCTCCCGGAGCTGGGCCAAATTCATGTTGGTCGCTTCGATGACACTGTCCAACCGTCTCATCCTCTGTCGTCCCCTTCTCCTCTTGCCTTCACACTTTCCCAACATCACGATCTTTTCCAGGGAGTCTTCTCTTCTCATGAGATGACCAAAGTACTGGAGCCTCAGTTTCAGGATCTGTCCTTCCAGTGAACACTCAGGGTTGATTTCCTTCAAGATGGATAGGTTTGTTCTCCTTGCAGTCCAGGGGACTCTCAAGAGTCTCCTCCAGCACCACATGTTATTAAAATGCTGTTAATGTGTTGTTCACATGGAATCTTTGGCTTTCCTATTTTATTGTAGGGATGATAGGTGTTGTAGGCCAAAACACTGGGGTAGCCAAAGCTTTGCCAAGCCTATGCAACGGTAGTTACAGGGGGGCCCATTTAAAAATGACATCTGCTCATTATACTAGGGGCTAGGTTCACATCATCATACCCTGCCCTAGCAAGGAAAGATATGAATGAAACATGAAGCCCCTTTGCTTAGTTGTGTGAACACACTAAGAATTATTCCATTGACAGTCATTTATCTTTTCATCCCCACTGGAAAACTAGGGTTGTTTCACAGCTTTGAACAAGCCAGGATATTAAGCCATAGTTTGAAGTTGCACGAACATTCTGGCTTGTTTCGAAGCTTTTAATGGAAGAGTTTCCAGATGATTTTCTTCCCCTCCATCACAAAGGTGGAACTATAAATGCAGTAAGGAGCTGTTATGCAGGCAAAACACTAATTCAGCTCTTCACTTTTTCTGCCAAGATGAGATAGATTCCACCCATAAAGTTAAAACAGTGGCTTCCAACCTTGAGTCCCCAGAGGTTCTTGAGCTACAATTTCCAGCAATCCTGGCCAGCACAGACAAAGGCTTCTGGTCCAAGAATATCTGGGGACCAAAGACTGGGAACCACTGGTCTAAAATGACAGCTAACAACTTGCATGCAAGAGGTTTTGAAAATGGCCGCTTGCTTGCGTTCCTAGTTAAAGAATAATAGGTAATGGGGTTTGGGATGAGGTTGGGGACAGGAGGATTTATGTACAGTGGTGCCTTGCTAGACGATGATAATCCGATCCACTTATATTGCTATTAGCGAAATCATTGTGTAACGAAAAGCATTTCCCTATTGGAATGCACTGAAACCTCTTTAATGCGTTCCAATGGGGAAGAATTGTCGTTGTCTAGCGAAGATCGGCCATAAATAGCTGTCTTGCAAAGCTTAGGTCCCGAAAACCCCCGTTTTGCGAGCGTGGAGGGAGCTGTCAAAATCATTGTCTAGTGAAAATCGGTTTGCGAAGTAGGGACCAAACATTGTCCAGCGAAAGGAATCATTGTTTTGCAAATCGCTATAGCGATCGCAAAAAGTCAATGTCTAGCGAAAAAACTGTCATGTGGGGTAACTGTCTAGCGAGGCACCACTGTATCTTTGACTTTGCTGTCTGTCAAGGCAATCAATAAACAGAGTAGCAGAGTATCCTTCCCTATGGTGATACTCACCCTGTTCTGGCCCTGTCCCCCATTGGGCTGTGAGAAGGTTGCAAGGGGCTTGTTCAGCGCTGCAAGAGAAAGAAAGGGATACACGTTAGCGTAACCACTGAGGAAATTTTTCACTTCCCATGAACACATCCTCTTTCCTTTCAGGAATATACAGTGTTTAAGATAAGATAGCTGAGAACTCCCAGAAACGGAACTAACTAGCATTTACACAAAGAGATGGCCTTCTGCCAAATCAAAAGTCATGGGAATGCAGAGTTTTGTAGGAGTCAAAGCCCAGCTGAGTCCTCAAGCGGTCCAACACATCTGGAAAGCACCAGGTCAGGGAAGACAGGATTAAACTTTGCTTCATTGTATTAAGTCCCCTCCATTCCATCTCACATAAATGAAATAAAATTTTGATCTTTTTGTTTTTAAAACCCCTTCACACCTTCTACCATTGTGCGGCCTGCAAAAAATTCAACAGGTGTAGCTCTGCCCTTTGTTTCTTCCTTATGGCAGGAAAAAGCTTTCCCTGTCGATTTCTGCCTGATCTTTTTTTTTTTTTTAATCAGCCACTCAAAAAGACGGCAAACTTTCCACTGGCTTCCACCACTCTCTTGAATCTGCTCTGGAATCCTGTTCAGCAGGGGGGATCCTTTTACATATTGGTGACTTACGTGGCATTAAGTGACGTTCAGAGAGCTGCTCTTGAGACCGCCGGTGTTGCATCCGCAGCTGGAGCACTATAAAAAAGGCAATAAGATAGAAATAATGGTAGCAGCTTTTTCCATACAGAACAATTCAAATGGGGGGGGGGGGGGAAGAGAAAAAAATTTAAACTCCACCCAACAGACTTCACAAAAAAATTAACATAACCAAGGACAGATTAAAAACATTTGAAACAAATTAAAAACAGTTTTATAGCATTCAAAACTAGATTTGAGAAAGATTGAAACAGTTAGAGATAGATCCATAAAGTTTTCCAAAAGATAGTTTTAAAAAGCAGTTCTAGTCCAAAGGCCCTTTGCAACAGCACAGTTTTACCTGCCTGTTGGAAGTCAACCTAACTTCTCTTTGAAGGAAATCCACCAACCTAACCCCTCAAGGTAGCGGGATGCATAACAGGACCCTGGTTGAAGGTCTCAGTTTCTAGGTAGGTATGTACAAGGAGGAGATATTTTGGCTCCAAGATGTTTGCAGCTTTATAACTTAAAATCAGCACACTGCTTGGAAACAAACTGGAACAGCAGTAGATTCAAGATGGATGTTAGATTATCTGTAAAGCATACATGAGACCACAGTTTGGCCACCACATTTTGCCTTACTTATAGCCTTCAGGCACTTTCAATATAAAGACTAGATGAGCTATTTTATAATTTGAGGTTAGCAAAGTTGACCAAATTTGCAATCAGTTGCTTTGGAAATACGAATCTGTTCAGCTCAAAATACACAGGTTTAATATGACTTGACCTCTATTTACCCTCAAAGTTACTCTCCACCTCAGAAAGAAAATGAGTTTGGTTTTTGTTTTTGTTTTTGTTTTTAGTTTGTGTATATATGCAATCAACAAATTAGTCACCTAACTAATAATCTGTAATACGGAACAAACATTGGCTAATTAACATGATTCCAAAGGGCTCAACACCATGACAGAGGGTTCCCAGGGAAGAATGAAAGGATGCACCAAAAATACAAGGCAGAAACAACTCACTAATTGTACTAAGTTTTATTTTGGATAAGCGTTGATTGTCATATTTTGATTTACTTTGTTGTATGTGGTATGCATCAATTCAAATAACATTAGAAAACAACAACACAGAAACAACTCATCAAAAAAAAGCGACACAGATGGAAACTCCCAACGGTCTTATTCTTAACTGAATAGAACTGTTTGTTCTCACTGTTTATTTGTTCATTACTATTTGACATTTTAAAGGCAAAGATTGCTGATGTTATGTGCCATCAAATCTCTTCTGACTTATGGCGACTCTTACAGGATTTCCAAGGTACAGTACATGAAATGTTCAAGGAGTGATTTTACCATGGCCAACCCCTAGTGAGTTTCCACGGCCGGGCGGGGAATGGAATCTAAGTCTCCTGGCATTCAGTGCAGTGCTCTACCCACAACACTACAATGGTCAATTAACGGCAAAAACAAATCTTATGGAAAGATCCTTAGGCAATCTCTCCTGTTTCAGAAGTTAAATCTTAAAAGATGGAATCTGCAAATTATCTGAAGTGAGAATAGGTCTTCAGGTGCTTCAGCAGTTAAGCAATTCCTCTTCTCATCTACAGTATCTGTTTCTGTTCTAAGTTATGCCCTCAGACAGCTACGGCACGTCTCTCCAGAGGCCCAAATTCTTCCCTGAGAAAGTTCTGCTCATGGAAGTCTGTTACTGATAGTTTTTTTACTGGACGTAGGTCCAGAAGACTGGACTTTGAATATGCAGGATCCAAAGGCCTTTCTACTTCCATATGATAAAGTCCCTCACCTACCATAGTCTTGGGCTGATATACAGTCGTGCCCTGCTGGACGATTACCCTGCTCTACGACAAATCGACATTACGTTGACTTTTTGCGATCGCTTTTGCAATCGCAAAACGATGGTTTAAATGGGGAAATTTCGCTTAGCGATGATAAGTTCCCTGCTTCGGGAACTGATTTTTCGCTTTACGACGATCAGCAAACAGCTGATCGTTGGGTTTCAAAACGGCTGCTGGCTTTCAAAATGCCCCCCGCTGTTTTCTAGGACGGATTCCTCGCTATACAGGCACCGAAAAAGGCTGCTGTATGGATGATCTTCGCTGGACGAGCAGGTATTCAGCCCATTGGAACGCACTGAACAGTTTTCAATGCGTTTCAATGTTTTTTTTTTCATTTCGTTTGACGATGTTTTCACTTGACAGCGATTTCGCTGGGACAAATTAACATCGTCAAGTGAGGCACCACTTGTAACTTTTCCACAGGAGCTAAAGCCCCACTGCTTCTCTGTAACCAGGACACTTGGCTACCTTAAACTTGGAGCAAATGTAGCTAATTTTCCACCATTCCTTTCAATGGGCACTCATGGTAAGCCTGGTAAAGCCACCCCAACCTCTTTCATGTTCCTTAATCTGATGCTTCAATACAAACAAGCAAGGAACAAGAGGGCCTCTACTTCCAGGTGTGGATCAAGTAATGGAATGTGAGGTGGCATCACATTTGATTCCGCTGAAGTTAAACTGCGATTTGCAATTTACAGAAACAGGCCAGAATGGCATGGATTAGATGTGTATTGACTGGCTTGAAGAATTCCAAAGAAACTGTGCTGCAGAAATCACATGATCCAATGACCCTAGGCTGTGGTTTTTGTTTGGTAGTAACGTTTCCAAAATGATTCCCTTGCAGTTCCAGAATACCTGCTCAATAGATTAAACTGGGAGTACGGACCCAACACCAGTGGGAAACAACAAACACAGTTAGCCTTTGGCAAAGACGGTACCGTATCTGCTAATGAGTCAACGAAACTGGAGATGAAAATGCAACAGCTGGAGCAAAAGAGGCATACAATTAAACTGGAAACAAATACTGTACTCCAAAAATCAAATGAATGCATAATTAGTATCTGCCCAGAAAAGTCGATTAAAACCAGTGGTGAAGAAATTGGGAGCTGTAGCTCTCTTAGGGGTGAATACAGTGGCAGAAGAAAGGCAATGCAGAGCAGATTTAACAGGAAAACAATCACTATTGCTACTTGAGAAGGAGCCTTTTAACAAAAATGAAAGAAGGATTTTACATCAAGTCTGCACAGGAGGGAAGGTTCAGTGTATCTGGGAGCCAATTTCACCCCAGTGGGATTTGGTTGTACGGCACAGGAATCTGGGAGCCAATTTCACCCCAGTGGGATCCGCTGCAGATGACTTCCTCTGAAAACCAAAAGCATTTGGGTGTCGACTCCGATTTTCATGAAAATATTATTTTGGTCACAATGAGGTGTGTGGAGGAATGACATGTTTTGAAGGAGAATCATGTTTTCTGAATATAAAAGAAGCAAATTCTGGGGACTCTAGGGACAACATAATCAAGCACGGGGCCAAGAAGCTCATGATTCATAACAGTGGAACAAGAGCCTTACATAACAACTCTCTCTTATTCAATGCGTAAAAAAATGTAAGTGCATAGGTGGAATAACTGTGTAACCGGTATTACATCAGCATAAATGGGCTAGAACTGAAACTATGATCATTCGTGTTACAGCTTGGTTGAAAAGAGTGGCTTACAAAATTTATAACATGTTAATAGACAGTAAATCTGGTGACACTGGAGGTGCTGGATAGGTATAGGGGAAAGACTGAGGACAAGACAGTAAGAAAGGGCAATTGGGAGCCCCAAAGAACACAGTCTCCTCAGAAATAATGAGAATAACACCACATTTATACACAGAGAGTGTATGACACCAGCCAGACTCAAGTCATATACACAGAAATCTAGCAATGAACCTCTGGAGAAAATGTCATGGCCTAGAAATATATATTCACATACTGTATAATGAGAGTGTCCACAGTTTAAAAAGTAGTGGGAACAGATATTTTAAAAAGCAGAGAAAACTAGTACATGTCATAGCATGCTAGTAGCCTTAATACTAGTTTTGTCATCTGTTTACCAAGGAAATATTGATTGCACAAAGAATCACCTGCTTTTTTTAGGGGGTGGGGTAGTGGGTGGTTGGGCATTGCTAAGAACTAGAACTAGGAAGTTTTCTTCATCAATGGAAAGCACAAATGTAGTCAATTGTATTGATAGAAAATTTTGCAAATCAGCTAAAAAGACTCTTAATCCTCAAGAAGATATATTTTACAAGATGTTTAAATTTATCATATACGCTAAGCGGAAGAAAGACTATGTCATGGGACACTGGAAAGATGTACTTGGATAGACTGAACAAAACTGTTACTGTGAAATCTTAGTCTGATGTAAAAATCCATAAAATCTAATGCCCTTGGGATTTAATACCCCCCTTTTTTAAACAATTTTCTCTTATTTGTTTTCATATCTATTGTCTGTGTGCGTGTATGCATATGCATGCATGCATGCATGCATGCATGCATGCATGCATGCATGCATGCATGCATGTATGTATGTATGTATGTATGTATGTATGTATGTATGTATGTATTTTTAAAAAAGAGATGAGCTAAGCCATCTGGTCTGCTGCTGGCAATACAAAAGCTAGTGCTCCTTCATTACATTGCAGATGCCCAAGGATCAAGTGCGTCCCCTTGGCAGATCTAAAATGTGCCGACTGATCCAATGACAAAACGTCTTGGTTCCCAGGGGAAAACAACATGCTTGAGATAGAATGGAATGGCCCGTCATTGACTTGCGTTCACAGAGGAACAGATATGTCAGATTGGTTTACAGGGAGAGGGGCTTAGTCGTGGCTGCAAAGCTTATAGCCTTCTCAGCATATTTTACTCCCAATTTGTTGTTATTTGCTGTCAAGGCAGTTATAACTTATGGCCACCCTATGAACTAGTGACCTCCAAAAAGTCTTTTTGTTAAAAGCCACGCACAGCTCCAGACTGAGACTTCATTTTCTGAGTCAATCCATCTCATACTGAGTCCTCTTATCCTGTTGCCTTTCATTTCATTTTTGTTGCAGTTAGCAGAAAGTGAACGAAACACATCCAGAGCTACATTTAATGCAAGGTGGAAATGCCCCTCCTCCAAAGCTACACATATATCCCAAATCAAACTAAATAT